ACTAGTATCTTTAGCATTAGGCCAAATGCATGTTCCATCTTTTCTGCTGTTTTAGATTTATTTACTTGAAAGACAGAGGGAGAGAGGGAGAGGGAGAGGGAGAGGGAGAGGGGGAGAGAGACAGAGAGAGACAGAGACAGAGAGAGACAGAGAGAGACAGAGACAGAGAGAGACAGATAGACACTGAGACTGAGTATCTTCCATCCACTGGTTCACATCCCAAATGCCTACAACAGCTGAGGCTGGGCCAAACTGAAGCCAGGAACTCCGTGAGGGTCTCCCATGGGGTGAGAGGGGTCCAAGTACATGGGTCATCTTCAGAGGAAGCTGGATCAGAAGCAGAGCAGCCAGGACACAATCGCTGCTCATACGAGATGCAGGTGTTACAACGGCGGGTAACTTAACCAGTGCTACATGCTGGCCCCTTTTATTTTCTGCTTGAATATTGCTTTTCCTTTGTTTTCTTTAGTCATTAATTTTGGAAAGTTGTCAGATGTGTGTTAAATTTGTATTTACCTCTGTTTTATATTGTGTGTGTGAGTGTGTGTGCACACACTGCATTCTGGCTAATTTCCTCGTATCTCTCAGTTTTAGAACGCTTCACTGTATTTGACATATTTAACACTTTCAAGCGCTGAATGCCTGTGTTGTTTATTTCTGGAGATTCTCTCTAATTTTCTTATTTTCCTGTTCTCTTTACTATATTATACATTTATGTTTCAATTATTTCTTGTTATTTTTCACAGCCAGCGCAATGTCATTCATGAAATTATCACTCTATTTTTAAGTTGCAATTTTCATTCCCAAACCTAAATTTAAAAAAGAATCAGAATTCAACTATGTGTTTAAAAACTTGCTTGGGTCATATTTTATTCTAGATGTTTTTAATGGGACAGTTTTTGGGATTCTCTTTGATTTTAATACTAAATAAAAAATTTTATCCTGAATTAGTGTCTATGTAGACAAGCCCAAGGCCTTTACACTATCTACTGATTAGTTCCTGAGGTAAGCAACCATCTATTGGAAATGGGAAACACATCATTTTCTGCTTCTATTCAGTATATGCCAAATGAAAAGCACTTCTGACCTTAAACGGGTTCCATTCCTGCTGCCTGGAGCAAGACTCTATTGTCATCACATTGCAGACACAAAAAAACCATTATTCTACTCAAAGTTTTCCTTCTCCATTCCCCAGAAGAAATTAAAGAGTAAAGAAAACAGAGATTCTTATTTTTTTAACTAAGGAAAAAATTTTATTTAAACTGTGCAATCAATCAGTATTTAGACAGCAGTTTCATAAACATTTTGGCATTTAAACTTTTATTCATTTTTGGCATGACCTGTAGGGTAGTATATAAACTACCCTTAGGAGGGGGGAAACATTAGGCAATATTTACTATGATGCTAGAGAAAAAAAACAAACCCATATTATTAGGCAAAATATGTTTTAAGAAGACATTAAAAAGGTACATTCAAAATCAAGGCGAGCATTTGCTTTCCTCACGCAATGGAGTTCACAGAGCTGATCCCCTGAGTCAAGTATAAAATTAATATAGCTCAGCTCTATGGTCCATTAGCAAGTCTACAAATGCTGCCCTTACAAGAAAATGGTATACAAAGTGAAAGGATCCAGAACACCCATTACATAAAATAACTTAACTGGCTCCCACACTTTCATTAAATTCACATCTTTGAAGAAAATAGAAAACAAAATCAGACACACAGACATAAAATTTCTTCCAACAACAGTAACAAACAGACAAATTCTCTTCATACATGTCCTCTACTTATAGGCTAAGGCAATGTGTGTGTATTCAGGCTTTGAAACTTCCTATGATAGGCTCAAGTTGCTAATTATCTTCAATAATTTGCATTAGCAAACAAAATAGATATCCAGAGTTTGGTAACTGGAAGAATATATTTTAAGGTAGATATTGTAATTATTTAGTTATTTTTAAAGAAAGTTCTGTAGAAAAATAGATTTCTGTAACATAAACTTTAAAAAATAAAGTTTATAAGGACAGGCTGTATCTATATACCACGAGCTACTTACAAGACATAAACTTGAATAGTCTGCAAAGCTCCTCAGAATCTCAAGTATTATACTTAGAGGGATGCTGGATGCGGTAACAAAGTCAGGGCAAGTTCTCTCCTTTCTCTAAGAAAAGATAGCAATTGTGGGATTCTTCCCAGTAAGTCTGAAATGCACACTTGAATAAAACAGAATTAGGTATCAGTATGTGGTGCCCTATATAAAACTTATTTTCTGCAATCTTGAAAAAGTAGATCTGTTCGAGAAGAATCCTAAACATACAAGTTCCTCTTTTACTCTCTGAAATCCAAGGTATCAAAAAAATGAATGTTCAAGGCAGGGTAAGGTAATTTTAAGTCCAGTACTTTCAAATAAACAGTCAATTCCTGTTTCTTCTTTAGAGATGAGTATTTAATCCCAGGCTTCATCTTTTACTAACCACTTTCTTCTAGTGTGTTTGATGTGTGTGTGTGTGTCCCTGCACTTTTATCAGAGATGCAAACATTTTTCATTTTAGCAAAGGCAAAAAATAACTGGAAAGGCTGACTTGTAAGGAAAAACTGTAGGATGTTTCCACAGCCTCAGAAATTACTTTTGGATTATAATTATTTACACTTGAATTTCCTTTTAAGTTTTCAACCTACTACTGCTTCATTCTGCACAACAAATCAACCTCATTTCATGGATAGAGAAGAACAGAAATATGTTAAGAACTTTCCTTCCAAACAATTTTCAAAAAGGTCAAGACTAGAATGTAAGTATCCCAAATCCTAACCTATGTATTCTATTAATATGACTCTCTCTCAACTTTGCTCCCTCAATTAGTATGAAAAATTAGCTTTCAATCATATAAAAACTATTGACCCTTTAGATCTAGCAAGAAAGCATTATTGGTCACACACCTGCTATTTTCAGGCATAAATTCCTATTTGGATTTGGGGACTACAGATAACTACAAAAGATAAAAACCCATTCTGAAGACCTAGTCCAGTGAGAAAATGTGACTAGACAAGGAAGCCAGGAACTATGCCTACCTTATTCTTCATGCAACTCTAGGCACAGCCATCCGCCTTCAGACACAATCTTAGCTGAGAGAATCGGACGGTTTTGAAGGAGAGCGGTTGGGAGATGACAGGGATAAGTTACAGCTCAGTGCTTCCTCAATTCCTGCTGTGAAGAAATGGATACAAGAAAAACAGACTTCTCCCTGTTGGCTGCTTATTACTCTGTGGACAGGTCATGTTGACACAATCTGGTCTTCGTGGATATAAAAAAATAGAGGCTATATCTGATTCTACTTTGGAGGTACTATGAGCCTGGGTAATTTGTAGCTGAGACTGTATCATAGTGGCAAGCCAATTATTACTATGGACTTGGCCCAGTGTGGGTTTTTACCTTGGCTAAGCCACTTACTATCTGTGACCTTTGTTTCCTGACCTCTGCAATGGGGATAATCCTTGCTGTACAGAATGCAGCAGTAGCCAGAGATGCAGCATGTCTTGGCACACTACAGGTACTTGGTAAATGGCCCGGTCTCTTCTTAAAGATGAGGCGGGAGAAGCTATCAAATGACCAGCTCTCTTTATCAGTACTCAGAATATCATGCTGGTCTTTGCCTCATTATGGAGGCAGTGCAAGAACTGCCACAAATCAGGGTAGAATCAGAAATTGTCCTTCAGAACTAAAGGAGGGATACACTTGAAATGATCCAGAAATCAGAGCAATCACAAGCTTTGGTAGCCAAAGCTTTCTAGGAAAAGGACAACTGAAATAAAAAAAGGTAACGATTTCCTAGGTGATGTACAAGACAATGAGGTTCAATGGAAGCTCTTGCTGAGCACAGTGGAAAACTTGAGTTATCAAAACTGAAAACCAGTCAGTTAGTGGCAGATGAAGCTGAAGAGATAAGCCAGGTTTAGAGGCAGGAAGGTTGCATACTGCACATGTGTTTTTAAAAGAAAACACAGAATGTACCTGAGCACAGCCAGGCCCTGTCATCCACTCTGAGTCCCTGTGTGTTGTGGTCTCCCACCAAACCTTCCCCGGCAATGTGATCACTGAAGAGAAAAGGAGAAACGCTGTCCAAAAATTCTGATGAAACTTCATTAAGACAGAGGCTCAACCAGGGTACTGAGGTGTTATTTTATGAAGCACATATGCAGAAAGTTTGAAGCTGAATTGCCTTTACAAGTATTGTAGAGAGGAAGTTTAACGGGCGGTTTTGATAAACCACCAGTCAATGTTTTCATGGCCCTGGAATTTTGAAGATTCCCAATGGGCAGGCACATGACCTCAGATCTCCTATCTCTTTAATGCACAGACATTTCACAGGGGTCTGAATCCCACAGAAATAATGTATCTGTGGTAGCAAAATAATGTCTACCACAGAAGGCCACACCCAAGTGCCTGCAACCTGCGACTGTGGCACCACACATGGCAAAAGGAGGTTTGCATATGTGACTAAACAAGGAATGTGAGAGGAAGACACTGTCTTGGATTATCTGGAGGGGCCAATCTAATCACATGAGTCCTTAAAACTGGAGAAGCCTTCTCAGCTGGGGTCAGAGAAAGAGGTATGATTAATAGGAGCGGTGTCAGAGGCAATGCTACTCTGCTGGCTTTAAAGAAGGAAGGGCTGGCTAATAGTCTGTAAAAGCAAGAAAAGACAAGGAAGTGGATCCCCTACAGCCCCCAGAAGGAACACAGCCAACCAACACCTTGGTATTATCTCAGGGATGTAGTTTAAGCCACAGAACTTAAGGTAATAAATTCTTATGGTTTTAAGCTACTACACATGTGACAATTTGTTAATAGTAGCGATAGGAAAATTATACAGTATCTCTCAGATAAAAATGCAAGACTGTCATGTTAAACACTTTCAAAGGTGAAAAAAGGGGAAACAGAAGATTGAAGCCTGCGAACATTCACATTGCGTTAGCACTCTATCGCTCACTTAGTTTGCTATGCAGCAGCTTAACACAGAATTCTACAGTGAAGTTCTTCAAAGCATCACTAAAATTCACAACTGAGACAACTGGTTGTGTGTGCTGGTCTCCAGAACCCTGTACTCTGCACTCCTATGCCACAAACATTATTTGGACAATTAAACCAGAACAATTCTATCAGACTCGAGGAAAATGACCAGGGAGCATGTCTGCAAGACACATGTTTGGTCTTGGAAACAGCATTACACTTTCAATACAGATGGAACTATTCTCTGTTTACATTCAGAATTCAAAAGTTAAATTCAATGAAACATGAATGTATTCAAGCAAATTATCACAGCTACTGCTGAATGGAATCACATCCAGGTATTCTTGCACTTAAAAGAAAAATGATACTTTCTATTCCATCTTTTTTTTGTGAGCTATTCTGAGTGAATTCCAAAGGTGCCTTCCCATGGACTTCAACAATGATCCTGAATTGCCAACCTTGAACAAGCTTCTGGTGTAAGTCCTTGCAAAACTGAGACGAACTGATAGAAACCACTGTCACTCTTCCCAATGTTGGCATGGCTTTCACTCAAAATAAAGGCAAATAAAAGTACAGCATCTCATTGAGCCCTTAATGCCTTGGAACAGCAAAGAAAATTTTCAGTCATACCGTGGGTGGATCTGTGTCTTTACTTTTAGGCTAATCAAAATATCTTCATTAGAAAAAGAGTCTTCCTTCACTCAAGGTTCCACGAAAGTTGGAAAAACAGGCTCCTTTGATGCAATGGAAACATTCCACTTTAACAACTTTAGGTTTCAATTCAACAATTTGAAAGAGTTCAATAGGCAGCGACATGACTTGCTTGCCTGTTACACCCGCAGAGACAAGCAGAGCCCTCTCATTAAGGACTGTCTCCCCGGAGCCCTCTGATTAACCAGGTGATGCTTTAAGGAGGATGAGAACTACCCAAGCTAACTGAGGGGTTACCAAGATACTCTGCAATGGAAAAGCCTGCTGATATTTCGGTTGACATCTCACATTCAAGGTGCTTAGGAAAGTATCACATCATTTGGCAAAAACATCCCCTGGCTGATTCAGCAGATCGGATGGAAAGTCCCTACGTATGCTATTTGTACACAGACAGGGTTCTGAAAAGACACGTTTCGTTAACACAAAAACAAAAAACAACAGTTTAATGTACAACTATACTTGCCTATATGCAGAGGTAACCTTAAATATCTTTGGTTTTTTCTTTTTTAATTTGCTGATATAAAGTACTTGAATAAAAACACTGATAAATACCAATGTAACTGTCCTGTTTTTACTTACGTAAACTTAGCCCCTGATATCTTTTGCTCCTAAAGCTAGATTTCCCTATCAGTTTCTAAATAAATTTATTTCAGATCTGCTCACCATTACTTACTTACAGGCTAACCTATATATTTTAATGGTCTTTGGTATGAAAATACTGATGAGCATTGTCTTCTATTATTTGGCATAAAAATGACATGCACGTATCAGTACTTATAACAAATAAATCTTTGGAAAAGGAAATAGTTACCATTTGCATATCAGCCCCTTTGGAGTGAAACACCATGGAGTAATAATACCACTGTGAGAGACGAGCAAGAATCTCCCCATTTTAGTTACAATTTCATACCTAAGACTTCAAAGAAGCTTGCTTTGGCCAAGCCAAAAGAAGTCTTCGTTATACGACAATTACCTTATTCAACAAAACCAAAAGATTTATTTTTGGGTGAAAAGATTTGTTTTTCTCTCCAACAAGTAGTTTCAACAATTTGAAAATACTTTAATACTGTAGAGTTGAAGATCTACTTGTTGAAGAAAAAAATCATACCTGAAATATAAAATCCTCTGGAACTATTTTCTGGTAAAGGAAGTATTATAACTTATTTCGAATGCTCTGGTAACAAATAAGGTAGTCAAAATCACTAGACTATTTAACTACAACAATCAATATAAATCCTATCATTCTGGGTTAGTAACTACTTGGATAAACTTCGTATCTATAGATGTTTCTAGTTAATTCAATTTGGGGGGAATTATAATCATTTTACTTTCTACTGAAAAGTCTTTGGTAACAGGATTATTATGAAAAAGTGTATAAGAACAAAATGAAGAGGTAAAAAATGTACTGGTAAATAATTAGCCAACAGTTATAACCTAAAGATCTATAATAACTATGGGCCTATCCATCAGAAGCCACACAAACAAAATATTTTCTCAAGGACTTCAGATCATCTTTTCAGGCAATTAATAAGACTATTCAAATTCACACAGTCCAAAACATATCTTCCATAACTATGATGCATGTTTCAGTTACAGATCTCATTTGCCTTTTAATGAAAGTTTAAACAACAAAATGATCTCATTGTACTCCTGACTTATAGACAATGATAAAAGTCGGCCCCACATACTTCTACTTAGGAACCGCACAACGCCATACCCTGTCAATCTGCCCATGCTTCCATGAGGCAGCTCAAAAGTAATAAAATGTTCCCTGAGTACAGGAAAAAAATAACACTAGAATACTTTCAAAGGAGGTAGTATAAACAGGAGCTAGAAAGGCAGGGGCGGCATCTTCCCCGCCTCAGACTGCTCACCTAAAGCTCTGCTTTTGCTGTGTTGCCTGTTTTGCCATGAAGCCCACACTTAGGGGGGGCTTTGAATTGAGTCTGGAAGAGGTTACTGCCACTTTATGTCGGCCTGCTTCTAAAACACTCAGTTTGGCACAAACTATAGATTAAAGGGAAAAAAAATGTTCCTGTTACAGCATCCCTCGCTGTCTAGGAGTGACACCAGGCCTGTAATCCAGTACAATTCTTGAGCCCCTTCATTTCATATGACCCTGCCCCCTCTACAAGCAAACGGTCTCAAAGGGAAACCCATGAAGATTACTTTTAAAGGGAGACTCAAGAGTCATATCCAGAAAACTTGAAAGCATATTTTTAATAGGATAAGTGGATCCTCTCTAGAACGCATCTAGTTCCTTATTCTCCCCTGCTGCTAGGCACCTAGGTCACTGTCACATGACTGAGAAAGGCCTATTCCATGTGGCTGAGTGAACTATTTGCTGACTTCAACCCAGCAAGAGGACTGACTGACTCTGCAGAGTTAGTTTCCTCATTCACAGCACTGACACTGAAGGAAGATTACATGAAGAGTACCAAGCAGGGTGGCAAAATGCTGAATATTTATCCCTAAACAAAAACTTCATTAAAAAAAACTTTTACGGTAAGATACTAAGTATCAAAATAGTTACTGAGTAAGTTCTAGAAACTATTAAGGCAACTTTTTATACTTCTGTCCTAAACAACCTCATGAATATCAAAAAGGTATAAGGCAAAACATTTCGTAATATATTCTAGAAGGCACTGTTATCACAATAACCTCGGGTTCACTGTCACATTTATCTTCATTGTTAATATGAAATTTCTTCAATCCTTTAAACCAAACTGGGATTACAAAAAAGAAATCCCTAACCCATTCTCTTTAAAAATAAAAATCCACTTTCTGCATGGGGCTTTGTAACTAATATTGGAAAAGCTGAGGATGCTTTGCAAGCTGGCAGTACAGCCTTTGGCCAACTGTCAGGCAAAGAGGTGGTAAAAAAGGCACGGCGCGAGGGAGGCTGAGGTTTGGGATCCAGCAGATAAAACACTCAGATTCTAATGCCCAAAACATAAAGGCCTTTTAAGCAATATTATTCCCTAGATGCTTGTGAATGGTTCTGTTCTCAAAAGAGATACTTTTTTTTTTTTTTTTTTTACTGCTCTGGCCAATCATCAAAATAAATAATCCAACTTTTCCTTTTGGTGGTTTACCAGTCCTCACAGAAGGGGGTAAAACTGCCCAAACCTTGTGGAGGTTACAGTTTTTGTTGAAAATCAGAGCTTCAGATAAACATTCTTACCTACCTAAATGACTCCTTTGATCACACATATTACACATACAGCAATGAAAACAAAAGGCTACTAGGAAGTATCATTGGTAACGCAGCTGACATAAACTACAACAAATGAGGTAACACAGTTTTCTTCAGAGTTTGCCTTCGGGCAAACTGAGGTAGATAGTCAGCAAAGGGGCTCTCGAAGTCTTCCCTCTGCTCCAGTGATATATTTTATAATCCAGTCAAATACTTTGACTGTCCTTTCACATTGCTGACAATGAAACATTCAAAATACATGAGTTTCAAAAAAAAAAAAAAAACACATTCAAAAAAGGCTGAAACACCCACTAAGACATGAAGGCTTTCACAAAAGGCTTTGGCTCCCTGTTCATTGTCCTTCGAACAGACCTACAGGCAAGACACCTGAGCATGGCTGTCTAGACGGGAAAACCTTTCTCCAAGCACCGCATTGTGGGTGAGGGCCGCAGCACAGACGCAGGGGTCTGCTCCGCAGTGGCTGGCGCTGCAGGGTCTTCACACTTCCTTGTCGTGGGGTCCTCCCCAGAATCACTGCCAGTGAGAGAACTGGACGTTGGGGGTGTGGAGCTTATGACAGAGGACAGGTGTATCTCATCATTGGACTCATGGGAGAACCTTCCAGAGTCGCCAGTCTCGTGGCTCCCTTCACTGTTTGCTGAATGTTCAGTATCCACTGCGGCACCAAAGGGTCTTGGGAAGCTGGCTGTCTGGCCTGGGGAGCCGGGAGAGTCTTCGTCACCAAGGAGCACAGTAGTGCCCGGCTGATAAAAGCAGACAGCTTGAGTGAATCTTCTTGCAGGCTGGGCAAAAACAGATCAGAGCAATGAAATGACAAAGTCTTCAGGTTAATGGACAAGGGCCATCTTGAGGAATGGACTCTCTGGCTGGTGAATCCCCACAGAGGGGGAGGAACACATTAGAGTTACCAGTGGCAAGTGTCAAAAGCTCCTTGAGTGAGTGTCTTTTACCTAAAATATATTATTTTTACTTAAGAGGGAGAGAGAATGAACTCCCACCAGCTGGTTCACCCCTAAATACCTAAATAACAGCAGGGGCTGGGCCAGGGCCAAAGCCAGTGGCCAGGAACTCAATCTAGGTAATTCCTGAGTCATTATCACTGCCTCCCAGGGTCTGCATCAGCAGCACTGGAGTCAGGAGTGGGAGCCAGGAATCTCACCCAGGGAGTCTGATGTGGGATGTGGGCACCTGCACTGCCAGGCTCACCACCTGCCTGCTCCGCAGTGGTCCCAATCCTTGTACCCACTGCCACCCCTCCCCCAGCTCAGATGACTACACCAACCATCCTATCAGTTATCACTCATCCTGGTTCCTCTCTGTAACTCTGCCTTTCAAACAAATATTGAAAAAGAACAGAAAAAAGAGAGCATTAATTTATATTTCTTCTCTAATGAGTTCATATATCATAGATTGCCAAGGATTTTTCCTACTTGGGTAAATTACCTGCTCAACTTTCCTCTTCTTAGAGTCTTGGAAAAAAAGCCATTTTTTCTTAGAGTTGCTTTTAATTATAGGACCATAGCTGTTGATTATCAGGTCAGTTCCTCCCTGGGGAAATAAAAGAGGGAACCATAAATATATTGGTATTAGAGATTTCAGTTTATCCCAAGTGGCACCTAAATTTTTTAAAGGTTCAAAGAAAATTCAATCCCATCAAGGTGACATGTACCAATGCCATCTCACTAGTCCCAGTGATCAATTTCTGTTCACAACTGATCATAATGATAGGACTAAGAGCCAAATGGATCACAAAAACAAGACTAGTGTCTGCAAATACTAGCTGATAGAATAAAAAAGGGAGAGAACGATCCAACATGGGAAGCAAGATACACAGCAGACTCATAGAATGGCAGATGTCCTAAACAGCACTCTGGCCTCAGAATCAGCCCTTAAGGAATTTGAATCTGGCTGAAAAGCCCATGAGAGTATTTCAGGCATGGAAAGCCAAGACACTCTGGCAAACAACAACAACAACAACAAAAAAACAAAAAACCTAAATGAAAGATCTCCACGAGTGAGATCCCAGTGAAAAGAACAGGTCATCAAAGAAGGAGGTACCTTTCTCTGAAGGGAGGCGAGAACTTCCACTTTGACTACGACCTTGTCTAAATATGATCAGAGTTGGTGAACTCAAAAGGCTTCCATAGCCTTGGCAACTCATGACAAGAGCCTAGGGTGATTACTGATGCCATAAACAAGAGTGTCAATTTGTTAAGTCAACAACAGGAGTCACTGTGCACTTACTCCTCATGTAGGATCTCTGTCCTTAATGTGCTGTACGTTGAGATTTAATGCTATAACTAGTACTTAAACAGTATTTTTCACTTTATGTTTCTATGTGGGTGCAAACTGTTGAAATCTTTACTTAATATATGCTAAACTGATCTTCTGTATATAAAGAGAATTGAAAATGAATCTTGATGTGAATGGAAGGGGGGAGGGAGAGGGAAAGGGGAGGGTTGCAGGTGGGAGGGTAGTTATGGGGGGGGAAGCCATTGTAATCCATAAGCTGTACTTTGGAAATTTATATTCATTAAATAAAAGTTAAAAAAAAAACAAAGAAAAAAATGATCACAGACATCACTATTTCATTTTTTTACACAGGCCACATACAATACATTCAGGTTATCAAAAAAATGTAATGGGTGATGGGTATATTGTTAAAAAGATACCCCACCCCCTACACGGGTACTTCAAAAAGTTTATGGAAAATGGAATTAAAAGATGAGTTTGGTGTAAATATTTTTGAAATACATACATAGCTTTTGACCACTACGTATTTTCCATTGACCTACTGAAAAAAACCCTCATATGTTGCTGAAGTATTTGGAAGTATAACGTAAATTACAGTTTATTTTCAAATGGTACAGCAAACAAAAATATATGATATTGCGCTGTCCCATTGTAAGACTGGACTGCCCCTTCCCTAGGTTTTCTCCAATACTCCAAACTCAGGCACCTTTTCTTATATTACCCCATTCCTTTCCTGAAAGTTCCCCATATTTTTTGAGTTCCTTCAGTTTTCTTAGAAGAGCTGTTTAGGGCAGGGCCACACACACCCAGACAGAACACAGGAGTGAAAAATTGCAAGCCACACAACAAGGGCTTGTGCAGACGGAAAGTGTAGCCTGCAGCACCAAAGAGACCACACAGTACAGCAGAAGTGAAATGCAGTGGGGTCAGCTGAACAAAGAAATCCAGAATTAAGAGCCCATCTGACTACACTGATTGCTCCCAAGCCCCTCCAGGGAGAACTTGCCTTGCCAGTGTTTCCGCACATAGGCTTTCTCCCACCAGGTCCAGGAAACTGCAGACCCCAGAGCATGAGGCAGATCGGAACCATAGCCTGCTGACTTCTTGCTGGACAGTAACAAAGCCTTTCTTTTCCCAAAAGACTGATGTCAGAGATTGTTTTTTTGCAACCACTGGGCAGTGGACACATCTCATTCAGTAACAAAGAGGTGTGGAACTTACAACAAGGCATTAACAATTACTTGTGTATTTGTTTCACTATTCTCTCAACCTTTCTACATGTTGGAAAAGAACGTCATGGGCTAACATATGCTCAACACATGGCACTAGGAGGGTGTCAACTCCTAGGCTAACCCAAGGGGAAAGAGAGAGGTCTCCAGCTTTTTTCTCTACTGACTTCAGGTTTCCACTCCTTTCTGCCTCCTTTCAATGTAGATTCTTCCCTTTTTCTCCCTTGTCTCCCCCTACGCGGCTTCTCCCTCATCCTTTCTTATTTCTACTTCCATACTAGTAATAAAAGAATCACAGAATATTTCAGTACATTTTATGGTTATTTAAAGTTTTAGGTTCTATTTTTATATTAATTTGAAATAAGCTGAATGGCTCAATTTGTATTGAAAAGTAAATGCTATGGGCCAGCACTGTGGTGTAGGGGGTAAAGCCACTGCCTGCAATGCCGGCATCCCATATGAGCGCTGGTTTGAGCAATGGCTGCTCCATTTCTGATCCAGCTCTCTGCAATGGCCTGGGAAAGCAGGAGAGGATGGCCCAAATTCTTGGGCCCCTGCACCTGCGTGGGAGACCCAGAGGAAGCTCCTGGATCCTGGCTTTGGATCAGCCCAGCTCCAGTTGTTTCGACCAATTGAGAAGTGAATCAGCAGATGGAAGCTCGCTCTCGCGCGCGCTCTCTCTCTCTCTCTGCCTCTCCTCCTCTCTCTGTGTAACTCTTTCAAATAAATAAATAAATAAATGTAAAAGCTAAATTAGGTTGCAAGCAAAAAGAATACGCAAGTAACAAAAAAAACTTATAATCATTTGCCCCAAATAGATATATAGTACTGTGCTAGATACGAGTAGATTTCATCTGCTAAGTATAATTGTACCCTTAATTTAAAAATTGCCAGGGCCAGTGTTGTGATGTAGTGGGTCCAGCCACTGCCTTGACTCTGGCATCCAATATGGGCACAGGTTTCTCAGCTGCTCCACTTCCAATCCAGCTCCCTGCTAATGGCCTGGGGAAAACAACAGAAGATGACCCAAGTGATTGGGCCCCTGCCACCAATATGGGAGACTTGGATGGAGTGCCAGGCTCTGGTTTGGCCTAGCTGTTGTGGTCATCTTGGGGAGTGAACCAGTGTTTGAAGATTTCTCTGTTTCTCTCTCTCTCTAACTCTTCCAAATAAATAAACAAATCTTAAAAAAAAGTTTTACTTAAAAAAAAATAGTTGTCTTAGTCTCTTTGCAGACTACATATAGCCAATGTGGTATTTTCTTCCATTTTTAAAAACAACACTTAATAAATGTAAAAAGTATTCTTAGTTCAAGGGAATGGCCTGGGATGTGGTTTGCTGACAGCTGAGTTATAGCACATTGGTTACGGGAGCTAGTGTAATAATGCACAATACCTAACGTTGCAATGTGACTAAAAATAATTTAAGCCGGCACCCACAATGCTTACCACTGTACTATTATTACATATACTGGAAAAATCATGCAGTAACATCTCCAATGACATTTCTTCTCTATATCCAAATTCCTTGGCCTATAAAAGGAATGATCTTTAGTTTTCTAGTTAGATGCTATTTTAAAAACTCATTAATATCTGGATGTTATGATGAAAAATGCAGTTCAACAATCAATCAAACTAAGTGTAAAACAGACTAATGGAGAACTGTCCACCTAGTACATGCAGGGAAGCCCAAGTTACAATGCATAAAGACTAATGACCATGGTGTCCTTGTTTAAGACATTTTAGCTTCACTGAATTGTACCAAATTGAATTTTTTGCTACCTTTTCACCTTTTTTTTGGGTATTTTTTAAAATAAAGATTTATTTCTTTATTTTAAAAGAGTAAGAAAGAGAGGGAGAGACACAGAGACCTTCAATCCACTGGTTCACACCCATATGGTAGCCACAACGGTCAAAGCCAGGAGCTTCTTCTGGGTCTCCCGTGAGGGTGGCTGGGGCCCAAACACTTGGACCATTCTCCAATGCTTTCCCAGGCCACTAGCAGGGAGCTGGATAGGAAGTGGAGCAGCCAGGACACGAACCCACCCATATGGGATACCAGCATCACTGGTGGCAGCTTTACCAGTTAAGCCACAACGCTGGCCCCTTCGGTATCTCTTACACCCTGTATTCTTTTATCTCTATCTTCTTTCCTCCAAATATTTTATATAAGGAAGGAAAAGAAGGTTCTGGATGAGTGCTTTTTGTTTGTTTTTCCATTTCATTAGAGGGAGTATGCACACGGCACATGGAATTTTCTGATAAGGAAATTTCACACGTGAAGCGAAGACAAATGGAAGGGCGGGCTCAGCAGCAGATCACTCCTTGGATCGAGGGTACCTTTGCATCAATGAAGTTGCTGGGCGCCATTGGCATTAAGGACTCTTCATTCTCAACGGCTCTTTCCAGGTTCTTTCCCACTTCACTTCTGCTTGCCGAAGAGGCGCTGGTACGAGGCAACTGCTGGGGTCTGTTCTGTGCCGTCTTAGAAGCAGCTGATTTTCTGAAATAGCCAGAAGCAAAGAAAATCTAATTTCAAAGAACACAGAGACCATTCTTCATTATGGCCTATGATCACAACTTCGCAAAGTTCTTAGATGCTCATTTCTCAAACATCGTTAGTAACTGAGTATTGGATTTTAACTCCAACTCATGGAGGCAAACTTACGATTTGAGCAAACTTTTGTGTCTTAATATTTGTTCATATAAAGTTATTTTCCACACTTAATAAAATCCTCAATAGTTACAAAGTGTTATTATTTATTGTGACTTATTTACAACTTTGCACAGAATTTATGAACTTTTTACTTTACGTTTTTGCCTTTAGGTCTGTAGACTGCTACACTGACCTAACAATGTACTTGCTAATTAACACAGGTGAATTTATTATGGTACTTCTGTAAGACTGAGGCAGCATTAAAACAATGTGCATGAAGTGAAAAATTTTTACAGTGAGAAATATGGACAATGCAATTAAGTCACTTCAATATGCACAAAAATGCAAACTGTTGAAATCTTTACTTAGTATAGAATTGATCTTCTGCATGTAAAGATAATTAAAAATGAATCTTAATGAAGAATGGGGTGGGACAGGCAGTAGGAGGTAGGACGGTTTGGGGGTGGGAGGGCAGGTATGGGGGGAAGAACCGCTATATTTGAAAAGCTGTACCTATGAAATTTATATTTATTAAATAAAAGCTTTCTAAAAAAATCAACTGTCAGCAACCTAAATAGAAGACTTAAAAAATAAAACTTTTTGGAAGAAAAAAATAAGCACAAGAATGTTAGAACTCAAACTTCTCTCATTAATATGTTTTCCAAGTTTATTACTATGCACAAACAGCAAATGTCTGCAGAGTAAATATTGAAAAACCTATGTGATTTGAGAAAGCCTAGTGATGGGGACAATCTAAAAATAATGACTTTGACTTTTTATTTAAAAAAGAAATTTTAAGAATATTAATGAAAGCAAAAGTCAAAAAATTTAAAAGGTTAGAAATAGTTCAGTTCCCTGAATGCAAGTTAATGTTGAAAATCTGGTCAAAGTCAAAGCACGGATGAGACTGCCTGACAGAGTTTACTGATAACCCAACCCTGAGTTACCTATTTGTCTTCACCCTTGTCTGCAGAATCCCAACCACATACCCTGGGGAGTTCTAAGTGACTCAGGTGTTTCAAGTACTGTCAGGTAAATATGAAATATTCTAAGCAGTAAGGAATCTTCTCAATAAACAAATGCATCAGGTTGTGTCACTGGAAAAAAAATTTAGGCATATGCTTTGTGTTTCCAAAACCACTAAGGAAATGGGGAAACCAAGTCCTCATTCAAGAATATTTTACTGGCAGAGAAATTTTTTTAAATGGCAAGAAAATGAACTCCCTTCAAAATGACATTTCTATAGCTGTAAGAACTCAAGTAGCAATACATTTAAAGTGGAAAACCCTGGTCATCCTACAAGGCACCCAATTTCATTGTGTCCTGAGGTTACTGTAATGTAGATGTTTTTTAACCACCTTAGCATCCCTAGCAATGGAAAACACACCTGGCTTTACTTCGGTATATCAAGATGAGAACACAGACGAGGATGCAGGTCAGGGCTATGCCAACACCTACAGCAATGCCAGTCATTGACTTCTGGTCCAGGTGGTAATAGCCTGAATAAACTGGAAGGGGAGACACATGGACTCAGACTCAGAAAATACATGATTTGATTTAAATTTAAGGCAGATATTTGCTTTATTATAGTTTTTCTTTATCTCATAGGAAGTTCTGACATTATCTATATCTAAGCAGAGAACACACATTAGTTTTTTTTATCAGGGATTTCACAGATTGATTTATCTTCCAACACTGAAGATCTTAAACATGTGTTAGGGTGAGTGCTGTGGTGCCATGGGTTCACTCGCCACTTGGGACACCAGCGCCCCATATCCTGGGTCCTCACTTCCAATCCAGCTTTCTGCTTGTGCACCTGGGACACAGCAGGCACTGGCTCAAGTACTGGGGTCCCTGTCACCCATTTGGGATGGACTTCCTGACTCCTAGTGTTGGCCTGGCCCACTACCAGCTGTTGCAGGCATCTAGGGAGTGAACAAGCAGATGGATGATCTCTCTTTCTCTGCCTTCCCTCCCAAAAATCTTAAAACAATTTTAAAGTCAGAGTCTTCAGCATCATAGTATATCAAACATTATCAAATCATAATTTGTAATTCCAAACAGCACAAAACACAGGTGTTCCCAAAGAACAGCTTTCATATCACATTGCCTGAAAAGCAGACCTGTAGGTTGAAGATTAGTTTTCCATTTATACAGATAAGAACAGTGCTTGTCAAACTTTAACGTGTATGCGAGTCACTAGGGGGTTCTACTCCACTCCGGGGTTCTGCACAGGACACCCGGGCTGCTGGTCCCTAGCTGTCCTGAGCAGCACAGGATTTGGGAAGCCAAAGAGCCTTGTTCTCCACCTCCACTGACGTGGCAGCTGCTACCTTCCGGTTGTCAAGTTTGATGTCCCTGCCTTTCTCTCTCTCCACCCACACACCACACTGAATGAGTCTTTTCTGTGGTGTGCAGAGCCCTTAACTCTGGCTGGAGTGTAGCTGGCCTTTCTTCCACTTAAAGCTTTCCCCACTTCTCCACAGCACAAGAAGAAAAGGAGGCTTCCAGCCCCAAACCATGGTGGGCGGCAGTTTCCTCCATGAGGGGGCTAATTTAAGGATAATTTGTCCAGGGCGAGCATTGTGATGCAGTGTTTAGACCCTGACTGGGACATATGCATCTCCTATGAGTGCCAGTTCAAGATTTAAGTCCTGGCTGCTCCACTTCCGATACAGCTCCTTGCTAATGCGCCTAGGAAAGCAGTACAGGATAACCTAAGTGCTTAGACCCCCGGACCCACATGGGAGATCCAGATCAAGTTCTGGGCTCCTGGCTTCAGCCTGGCCCAACCCCAGCCCTTGTGGCCTTTTGGGGAGTGAACCAGCAGATGGAAGATCCCGCTGTTGCTCTGCCTTTCAAATAAGATGATTTTTTTTTTATTTGACAGAGTGAGATAGAGACAGAGAGAAAGGTCTTCCTTCTGTTGGTTCACCCCTCAAATGGCTGCCATGGCCGGAGCTACGCGAATCCGAAGCCAGGAGCCAGGTGCTTTTTCCTGGTCTCCCATGCGGGTGCAGGGCCCAAGCACTTGGGCCATCCTCCACTGCTTTCTTGGGCCACAGCAGAGAGCTGGACTGGAAGAGGAGCAACCAGGACTAGAACCCGGCGCCCATATGGGATGCCGATGCCGCAGGCAGAAGATTAATCAAGTGAGCCATAGCGCCGGTTCCCAAATAAGATGATTTAAAAAAAATAACTTTCCAATTGCTTTTCTGGGGAAAAAATAACTTTCTGGAAAGGCAGCTGTGCTGTAGTGAGAACTCTTAATAAAAACCATGCCCTTCTAAGCCTGAGTCTCACAACCACCACGGCTGGCTGTTTCCAAACCAGGAAGCCCACTCGCCTAACTTACTCCACAGGTGGTGCAGCTCATCTGTCTTGGTGGCTGCACAGCTGGGAGAGAAGTTAACTGGGAACACAGGAGTATGAGAAGAGCAGTTTATTCTTGACAATTTCACATCCTTCTAGGAGTACCCACAAGTCACACAGCCCCATAACATCAGAACCCCAATGGCAACCATTTAAAGAACCCATGCAGGTTTAGGGATGCGGCAATTGTAGGAGCCAAAAAATACTTCATTTTTGTTCTGTTTTTTCAGATGACAAATCACAGTGATCGTGTACAGACCTTTGGCATCAGCAGAATCTAAACGCTTGGGCCTCTGATTTGATTCAGAAGTTTCCTTTGGAAGGACTGCCAGCTCCACAGATTTGAGAAGGGGCCCTTCTCCCACCTCGTTGGATGCAGATATCTTGACAATGTATACATTTCCTGCCACCAGGTTTTCCAGCAATGCCATGGTTATTGCCCCTATGAAATCGTCAAGTACAAATTTAGTAAACTTTTTTTATTCTTTCAATTATGCAAATGTGGTCACTTATTTCAAAAGCTATTTTTCTTATTGTCAAAGTGATATGTTTTTACTCTACAACATTTGGAAAATATACATAAGAAAATGACAATTTTGGGGGCTGGTGCTGTGGTGTAGCATGTAAAGCCACTGCCTACAGTGCCAGCATCCCATATGGACCCAGTTTGAGTTTTGGCTGCCCCACTTCCAATCCAGTTCCCTGTTAATGTGCCTGTGAAAGCAGCGGAAATGGCCCAAGTGTATGGGCAGCCATTGGGGAGTCAACCAGTGGATGGAAGAGCTATTTCTTTCCCTCTCTCTGCCTCTGTGTAACTTTGCCTTTCAAATAAATAAGCCTTTTTAAAAAAATGAAAATTTTATACTGACACTTCAGTGTATTGTCTGCACATGTGTGAAAACATTTACTGCATGTACCTTTTTTTTTTGTGAAAGATTGATTGATTTATTTGAAAGGCAGAGTTACAGAGAGAGAGAGGCAGAGGCAGAGGCAGAGGCAGAGACAGAGAGACAGAGAAAGAGAAAGAGAGTTTTCTATCCACTGGTTCACTCCCCAAATGGCTGTGACAGCCAGAGCCGGGCTGATCCGGAGTCAGGAGCCAGGAGCTTCTTCCAGGTCTCCCACATGGGTACAGGAGCCCAAATAATTGGGTCTGGCTTTCCCAGGCCATAGCAGGGAGCTGGATCAGAAGTGGAGCAGCTAGGTCTCAAACCGGCTAGAGTTTTCATTTGACACTGTACCATGCACACTTCTCCACAGAATCTCTCTCTGTAATTTTGTTTTAGTAATAATTCTTAAAGTAGCATGCATTTGTGTTTGGAGATACGTGTGTGTTATGTGTATGTTTAAAATATATATAGATTTGAAATGTTTCATTTTTTCATTCAAATGACATTAAAACATTTCATTATGAAACATTTCAAACATACGCAGAAAATGGTAGGTAATTAATCCAGAAGCAAGGACTGTACTGGGACTTAAAAATCCAAAGTGAGAGGCTTGCCCCCCTTATAAGAAATGTTTAAATTACATGTGGTTGTAGCTAGGATAGATGACGCTATTTTTCCCCTCTTAAATCAGAAGTAATACAAAACAACCTATTTTTGAAAGCATGAATAAATCCTTCACAGACTTATCATTATCTCAGGTTTCTTCAAGGTAACGAGGAAAGAAAACTCAAAGTTTGACGGCAGTCTCAAATCTGCTGAAGACCTGTAACTCAGATTAACTCTCAAAATTTCCACCAGTGATCTAAGATCATGTCTCTCCAAAGGGGATCATTTCATATATGATATGTTCTCTCCGAAGGCATTTTCTCTACTGGCATGACCACCAGGGAGGATTCACTCCTGTTTGGATACCAATATTGCTTGAGTCATCTTTCTTCTCTTGTTTTCCTACTGCACTGAAGCGTTTCTCACAAGAGAGACTTCCACCCTAGGAATTAATCCCGAGGTTAAGAAGGCAGGTGTGACAGAAATCCAACCAGGAAGCTGTTCCGGCACTGCATCGGTGGGCAGACGTGCTTTCCTGTGGTGGTTTCACCTCTCCTTCCTGACTCGGGGCAGCCTTACAACAGCTTTGAAGCGCTTCCCCTGGCTTCCTGCAGCCACCTTCAGGGCAGAGCCAGCTGCTCCAGTGGACTTGCTAGAACATAGCTCATTATGCAAGTGAAATAGGGGGTGATCTTAGAGCTGAGGCATGATACAAAGGCCACCTCTGCAGGTCACATGTTAGGAGGCAGCCAAACCTCCAAAAGCAATGCCAGCAGCCCGAACAGGACTTGTTTTCATGTTCTCTGGTTTCAACTTGGCTTGGACAGAGTGTGAGCTACTTGAGTACACAACTGTTAAATAAACAAACTGACCTCCTATTTAGAACCAGGAAGTCTTTCCACTGTTACGTTTTTAAGCAGATGCATTAAAAAACAAAGATGTGTTGTGATATGTTACAATGAGCTAAAAGGAAGAACATTTAATTTCTTCACAAAGAGACATACAAATTAAGTTTCCGTTTTATCATCAGAATAGATTTAATTTTTAAAAATGCTTGACAAAAAATAATCCATAACAGAAACGAAAAGTCTTCTGCTGTAGTAATATTTTCCAAGTGGATCTGCAGTGTCCCTTTCCCCAGAAAAAGTGGGATTGAGAGAAAGGAAACTATTTATGCATTCTGATCCTCCCATAAGCACATTCAAAGCACTTTTCCCAAATACTAAAGAGAGTGAGTGTCCCTACGTCCTCTCAGTAGATTGTCTCAATCTCAATTAATGTGATTATTTCAGTCTACTGCCTTTAATAGACATCTCAGTCTTCAGCCAGACTAGGAATTTTGAGGCAAGACAGTGTAACGGGCTCAGTGTCATAGCAATGTGGATCAAAACTTGGCACACTATCAATTAAGCAATACGTGACTCAGAGCACATTATCGAACTGTACTTTCCTCATGGGGACAATAGTTTCCTCCTCATTTAATTGTTCTAAGGATTAAATTAGCACTGGCAAGTGTCTGACCCAAGTGTATACACTTGATGACAGTAACTTTCCTTTCTCACCTGACTCCTCTTCTGACATGAAGGGAAAAAAAAAAAAAAAGACTTATTTATTTGAAAGGCAGAGTTACAGAGAGAGGCAGACAGTGAGATCTTCCATCTGCTGGTTTACTCCTCAAATGGCTGCAATGGCCAGGGATGGGTGAGGCAGAAGCCAGGAGCCTGCACCACCCTCTGTTGCTTTCCCAGGTGCATTAGCAGGGAGCTGGATTGGAAGCAGAGTAGCTGCAACCCAAACCAGGGCCTGTATGGTACACTGGAGTTGCTTGCAGCAGTTTAACCCATTGCACCATAACAACAGTTCCAGAAAAAATTTTTTTTTCCATATTTGAGTACCTTAAGGTGCTCACAGAATGCCTGGCTTAAGATCGTTTTAATTAATGCTAGTCGAATTTACAGTACAATGCAAGCCACTTGTGAGAAAAGGAGGGCGTACTCACTTAAGAAATAAACATAGGGGCCAGTGCTGTGCAGTAGTACGTTAAGCCTCCACCTGCCATATTGGCATGCCATGGGGGTGCCAGTTCAAGTCCTGGCTGTTGCACTTCTGATCCACATCCCTTCTGATGTGCCTAGGAAAACAGTGGAAGATGGCCTAATTGCTTGGGCCCCTGCACTCACACTGGAAACCTGGAAGAAGCTCCAGGCTCCTGGCTTCAGCCTGTCCCAGCCCTGGCTGTTGTGGGCATTTGAGGAGCAAACCAGAGGATGGAAGATCTCTCTCTTTCTCTGTCTCTCTTCCTTTCTAACTCTGCTTTTCAAAAAAATTTAAAAAAATGCATTAAAAATGAACATAAAGGGCTAAGATTTCAGGGTTGGTACAGTCTAAGACCTTTCTCTGGCCTCTCCAGGAGCTCCAAGTGAGTTTTTCCAGTTGTATAGACTTAAATATCATCGGCTGGCGCCGTGGCTCACTAGGCTAATCTTCCGCCTTGCGGCGCCGGCACACGGGGTTCTAGTCCCGTTCGGGGTGCCGGATTCTGTCCTAGTTGCCCCTCTTCCAGGCCAGCTCTCTGCTGTGGCCCGGGAGTGCAGTGGAGGATGGCCCAAGTGCTTGGGCCCTGCACCCCATGGGAGACCAGGAGAAGTACCTGGCTCCTGGCTTCGGATCAGCACGGTGAGCCGGCCACAGCGGCCATTGGAGGGTGAACCAAAGGCAAAGGAAGACCTTTCTCTCTGTCTCTCTCTCTCACTGTCCACTCTGCCTGTCAAAAAATAAAAAAAAATAAAAAAATAGTAGACTTAAGTATCATCTACTGACACATACTGACAACAAAGCTGGATCTCTGGGTCTCTCCCTCTCCCACACGCTAAGCCTCCCACTGCCTAGTCTGGTGTGCAAGGTTTGCCCTTGGCTGCTTCCCTACCCCATTTCTTACTGCCTGCTCTTCCCTTCGCTCCAGGCTCCTTGGCTTTCTTGTTCCTCTCATTTCTGCCTCAGGGTCTTTGCACTTTCCCCAGACAGAGCTATGTCTGGGTATCATTTCTTCCAAGACAATTTACTATACTATGAACTCCATCACTTTTTCCCTTTTACGGCTTTACAGCATTCATGATACTACCTGAAAATTCATATATTTGCTGGTTAGCTGGTCTATATACGATGACATTGCCATTGCCTATAACAGAGCCTGGCAGACAGGATCATGAGAAAGAATTTGTTTAATAAATGAGTATATTTCTACTACTGGCATTATAATTCATTTGGCAAATTGATAGAAAAGATTCTTTCAGTGCAAGGATTCTAAATTTTCAATGTGAATCACTAATATGGTATATTGTATTTCTCAAATTCAATTAATTGCAAAACTTTCTTTTTTTTTAAAGATACCTCTGTATAATCAGAAAACAAAACTAAGAACATAGTTCAGAAATCACTGAGATACAGGATAACTTCTCCCAGCATCTTTTTGATTTAAACATAAATCTGAATAGAGGTAAAGGCTGTAACTTCTGACCCACTTCAAGTTTTACGCAAATATAATTTCATGTTTCTGCTCAACCACATATATAAACTCACCAAAAGCATTTTAAAAGTGTTTTGAGCCATAAAACATATTACTGTATTATTAAATTTTTGAATTAAATATGTATGTAATTATGTATAAACCTAATATGTAGAGAATATTAACAAGCATATTGGTAAGAGAAATTCGCAACTTCTATCTTCTTTTTCCTTCTCTTTCTACACTATCAACTTCTGAAAAGTTGTTATAATTTACATATAAGTAGCCGGCGCCGTGGCTCAATAGGCTAATCCTCCACCTTGCGGCGCCGGCACACCGGGTTCTAGTCCCGGTTGGGGCGCCGGATTCTGTCCCGGTTGCCCCTCTTCCAGGCCAGCTCTCTGCTATGGCCAGGGAGTGCAGTGGAGGATGGCCCAGGTGCTTGGGCCCTGCACCCCATGGGAGACCAGGAAAAGCACCTGGCTCCTGGCTCCTGCCAGGATCAGCGCGGTGCGCCGGCTGCAGCGGCGGCCATTGGAGGGTGAACCAACGGCAAAAAGGAAGACCTTTCTCTCTCTGTCTCTCTCTCTCACTGTCCACTCTGCCTGTCAAAAAAAAAAAAAAAAAAAATTTACATATAAGTTTACCTTTTTTCCCTTTAAGTGCCATGTTGTAGTCCTTGCTTTTAATTTAAATGTGGGTGAGTCAAATCCTTTATATTTCTCTCTCAAAAAAAAAGTAAACACAATTGCTTTTCACTTATATTGTTTACTCTCTGAATTGCCAGCATTAGCTACAAAAAAAGGTTCTCTACATTTAACAAATGACAAAAGCTATTCACTGAAAATGTTTCTTAAAATTGCACCAACCAACACCTAGATTACTTTTTCCTGTGCATCATTACAGAAAGGCTTACCCAGATGGAAAAACCTGCAATTATAGTCCATTTCACTACTGAGACATCAATGAGACAAAATGCTGTTTCTGAGCTCTGTCTCAAACACATAAATGACAGCATGTAAAAAGAGTCAAAACAAAATATTGTTTCTTTTCAGGCAGGTACAAATGGAGAACGTAAGATATACACTCCTGTGACCAAAATTCTTTATTAATAATACTTGTGACACCTCATCAAATCAGGTTTCTCATCTGGCCAAGCACTGTGCCAATAAATCATTTTGGAACTGAATAACTGAAACTGAATTATACATTAAGATTACTGTGGCAGACGGCAACATTAAAGACACCGGTGAGGGACCGGCGCTGTGGTGCAGCGGGTTAAAGCCCTGGCCTGAAGCACCGGCATTCCATATGGGCGCTGTTTCTAGTCCCAGCGGCTCCTCTTCCGATGCAGCTCTCTGCTATGGCCTGGGAGGGCAGTGGAGGATGGCCCAAGTGCTTGGGCCCCTGCTCCTGGCTCCTGGCTTCGGATTGGCTCAGCCCTGGCCCTTGTAGCCATCTGAGGAGTGAACCAGCGGATGGAGGACCTCTCTCTCTGTCTCTACTTCTCTCTGTAACTCTTTCAAATAAATAAAATAAATAAATAAATAAAAAAGACCCCCAGTGAACTACCCCTTGATCTATTTACACCCTTGGGCAGCCAGATCCACAATGACTTTGGACTTGGCCATGTGGCTTGCTCTGCTATCTGGGACCTTAGTAAGTATGACACAAACAGAGGCTTGGAAAGCTTTCCATATGGGACTTCCTCCCTTTTCCTGATTCTGAAATCCTCTCTTGCTATTTTTAGATGACTCATATCCATACCAAAACTGTGAGATGCCAGCAGCCTCATGAGAGACAAAAAGAACTGCCCTGGTGATTCCAGCCAAAACTGCACATGCAAGGAATTGGAAGAAAGCAAAATGGTTCTTTAAAGTTTGAGAGTGGTTAGACAGCAATAAATAATTGGCACAATTATAAGATCATGTTGCTGCTAAGTACTTGCTGCTTTCAAGTCTCTTCAGTGACCAGGAAACCTTTATAGTGGGGGTTCTGCTTCAGTATGAACATACAACTATCAGAACTCTAGCCAGGGGCAAGCATTATGGAGCAGGTTAAGCTGCCACCTGGGATGCCCACATTCCACACTGCAGTGCCAGCTTGAGTCCTGGCTACTCTGCTTCAGATTCAACTTCCTGTAAATGCACTTGGGAAGGCAGTTGATGATAATCCACTTGGGTGCCTGTCACTCAAGTGGGTGATCTGGATGGAGTTCCTGGATCCTGGCTCCCAGCTACTTCAGGCATTTGGGGAGTGGACTAGCAGATGAAAGATCTCTCTCTGTCACTCTTTCAAATAAATGCACCTTTAAAAAAAATCCTCCAGTTAAATTTATCACTTGCTTGTTTTATAACTGTATAAAGAGTTTATCTGCATACATATATGGGTTATTTTCTTTATTGGGTATATATTTCTGTAAAAGGTCAAGTGTATGCCAAAGTGCCCAGTACTATAGTGTGTTTAGAATATGCCAACAAGTTTCCTTCTTGGAATCCTTCTTAATCTTTTAATCTTTTTTTTTTTTTTTGGACAGGCTGCTTGACAGACAGTTCTTTCCCCAGCACACATGTCGTTCCTAGGGAAGCAACAAAATAATGGTGGTCCAACCCAAAAGTGGTTCATGGAATGTGCCTGAATGAAAGATTCGTGATTTACCAAAGGTTATAATGCTGAAAGCAAGCAATAACAATGTTAGAGTTTTCTAATTCAGTGTCTAACTAAAATTAAATAGTGTTAAAAATTTAAATCCAGTGCTTTTACATAGTAATTCATTCTCTTTAATACTTCAGTGGACACTGGTACTCATACAAGGCCACTGATTTGCCTGTGGGTCATGTTGGCAGTTCAAAGGTCTTCTTCCGTAAGCTAGGTCTTTTTCCAGTGTTTCTTACTCTAGTACGAGCTGCATCGTTACCAGAAACCTAGTAAGTACACACAATTCTCCCTCCCCTAACCATCTTTCTCTCTCCTCTCCAAGCTATCAGGCTCTGTTAGTATCTCCTTCATATTTATCTTTCCACCACCCTCTCCTTTCTGTCTGAATCCCCGACCATCCTAGCCCAGGCTCATCATCTCTTTCCTGGATCACCATGACTACTTCCTAACAAGCCCTCTGTAGTGCTCTTGCCCTCACTCTTCAACCAAATCTCTTCTACTCACAACAGTAAAACTGGTCTTTCTGAAACGCAAGCCATTCTTTCTTAAGTTTTATGTATTTATTTTGTTTATTTAAGGGATAGAGAGAGAAAGAGAGAAACAGCTAAAGGGAATGCCCATTTGCTGTGTCACTCACCAAATGCCCACAATGACCGGGGTTGGGCCAGGAGCCTGGAACTCAATTCGGGTCCCTTACATTGGTGGCAGGAGCCCAATTATTTGAGCAGTCAGCACTGCACTGCAGTTTGCCTTAGCAGGAAGCTGGAATTAGGAGCCAGGTCAGGACTCGAACCCAGGCACTCCAATATGGGGGGTGGGTGTCCTGGCCAGTGTCTTAACTGCTGTGCTAATTGCTTGTCCCTGGAAATCAGCAGCATTCAGTGGCTTCCCAATGCTTTTTAAGTATAACTGAAATCTTTAGTAATTTGTTATTCACTCTATATAAAAATATAAACTCATATAAATTCAAGGCAAACTCTAGACCTACTTTCTCTGTTTCCTTATTGCAACAATCTTACTTTCCATTCTCCTTGGTCACGGGTGGTCCCGCTTACCTTCTCGGTGGAGGACTTGCCACTCCCCTGCAATCCAGGCTTTTCTGGATGCATACAGGATCGTGTACCGTGTCACAACCGTCTCTGGGCCATCAGGGGGTTTCCAAGAAACCAGAGCAGTGTCATCTTCTATCAACGTCACTTTTACTCCAACTGGTGGGCCTGCTGGGGCTGTGCACATATGAAAAAAAGACTGTATTACTAGGATAAAATAATTCATAAACACTCCTATACCTGGCTGAGAGAAAAGAATTTGAAAAACTAGAAAATGCTATTTAAAAAAAAAACAATCAAAACCATAGCTTTTAAAGACTACTGGTGAGAATAATAAAGAACTACCTTTTTCTTCTTTTTCTGAAAGCTCATTTTTATAATGTTTAAGACATTAAAAAACATAAAAGAGATGGCATATTCCTAGAAGGGAAATCACTAAATCAAAAGGATTGCATTTTTAGGGCTCCTGATACAGTCTGCTAAATTGCTAACTAGACATGCTTACAACTCCACTGGTAGTAATAAGCTTCACCTCATCACACTGAGTTAAATTATAGTTCTTACTGCAATGAACAGAATATTAATGGAACCTGATCTACCAGGGCACTGAAGAAAATGCTTCTGAGACCAAAACATTCAGTTATTCCCTCAAACATTGTGAATCAGTGAGGTGATAGGGTAGACTCAACTCTTAACAACCTGTATCTATAAAAAGTAGTAAAATCTTAGAATTTTAGTTGACTCCACACTTTATAGGAGCTAAAAGTGTGAAGAGCTGGTTTTCAGTATCATGTTTCACATGGACTATTGCCAAAACTTGCTGACTTAAGTGTCTCCTGCTTTTTCTCAGCATAATTAAAACAGACCAGGAGTGACCCTTAATAATCATCTAGTCCTTCACCCTCATTCTAGATAAGGAAGTGCAGGTTTAGAGATACGAACTGTTTTAGCTATAGGCATAGGTAAGCTATACAGTCAGTGCTCAATCATTCATATATATATATATATATATATGCACTGTACACAGTTATCAACCCACCACCCACAGAGAAATGGGTTCCAATGTAGGCTCCTGAGGTCATCAACAAATACATTATTCCCTTCCTTCTATTTAAAATCATTTGGGTACAGTCTTTAACAGCACACCTGACTTTAAAAAAAGACAAACTTTCTTAAAAGACACTAAAATTAAGACCATTTGCTCATGCATTTTTTTAGTAAGAAAAACATTTAAATATGATAAAGAAATTTCAAAAGTTTACAAATAAAATGCAATAAAGTACTTCAAAAAGTTCATGGAAATAGAATTAAAATATAACTATAGGGGCTAGTATTGTGGCTCAGCAGGTTAAACCACGACTTGAGATGCCAGCATTCCATATTAAAGTGCTGGTTCAAGTCCTGGCTGTAATGGCTTCCAATACAGCTTCCTGATAACGTGCCTGGGAAGGCAGCAGAGATGGATTGAGCACTTGTTCTTCTGCCACCCCTGTGGGAGACTAAAATGGAGTTTCTCGCTCTTGGCTTCAGCCTGGGCCAGTACAGGCCACTGTGGCCATTTAGGAAGTGAACCAACAGGCAGAAAGTCTCTCTGTTTTTCCCTTTCTCTCTTTCACTTTGCCTTTTAAACAAAAACCAATCTTTAAAAGTTGTGTGATATTTTGAGGCAAAAAATTTTCAAAGCCATGAATATGACGAGGTCTTCAAAAAGTCCATAAATACATACTATGAAAAAATTATGCATAGATTTCAACTTTTTACATCAAAATAAATGTATCTTTTAATTCCATTTTTCATAAATTCTTTGAAGAATCCTCATAGGTACAAATCAACAGTTAGGTGGCAAACAGGGTAGCCCTCCCTAAAGTGACAAATATATTTAAATATTTCCTTAAATTTTTAAAAAGGTAATAGCCATAAAGGGAGGTGCTGTCTTTACCTTCTGGAAGTGTAGAATGGTAGACTACAGGGCTCCAAGGACTGGAAAGTTGATCCACGTGCAGTCGAACAGCAAATTCATATTTGGTGTTTGGTTCTAAATCTTGAACCAGCATGTGAGTTTCCGATCTACAATAATGGGTTATGACATTATTAATGCTGCTAGCACATTGTTTTCATAAAATTGTGAGTATTTCCAACCAACAGGTAAGGTTTAACCTACTGTGGGGTTTTTGGACTAAAAGAGTATTCTAAAGTAACTACTAAAATACTACATTTGCTATTATCCTACAGATAGAAGCTACAAGCTGCCTGAAAGGAAACTACGAAATTTACAGTACTGAAATGTCCCAACACAAAGGCATTTCCCTTAAAAAGCCTGGAAGTTGAGCTGGCGCCACGGCTCACTAGGCTAATCCTCCGCCTTGCAGTGCCGCCACACCGGGTTCTAGTCCCAGTCAGGGCGCCGGATTCTGCCCCGGTGGCCCCTCTTCCAGGCCAGCTCTCTGCTGTGGCCCGGGAGTGCAGTGGAGGATGGCTTAAGTACTTGGGCCCTGCACCCCATGGGAGACCAGGAGAAGCACCTGGCTCCTGGCTTCGGATCAGCGCAGCGCGCCGGCCGCGGCGGCCATTGGAGGGTGAACCAACGGCAAAGGAAGACCTTTCTCTCTGTCTCTCTCTCTCACTGTCCACTCTGCCTGTCAAAAAATAAAATAAATTAAAAAAAAAAAAAAAAGCCTGGAAGTCAAATCACTCTTTTAAAGACTAGGATGGCCATAACTCTAACTCTAACCTAGAAAACAGAATTACAGAGTTAAAACTAGCTCTACTCTTTGCTGCCAGCATGAAAACAGTCTTTTGTTTCTTTTTTCAACTGTGCTATGTTTAGTCACTTCAAAATAACAATAGCATCTTGTCCAGTTTTTCTGCAAGGGGCTCAGAAAAAATTACTTATGTAAATTAATGTCAAAAAGTACAGTTTTCAGAACTGAATATGGTAAGTATGCCAAACTCCCAGCCATTATATAAGAAAGATCAGTCCTGAAACAAACGGGGCCCAAGCTGGGTGAAAGGAATTATGACGGGGGAGGAGGGCCAGGAAACCAGGATTGACAGAAGCTACATACGTTTGAAGGTACAGAACCAGAGAAGCATTCTGCAGGCCCACAGGGTTACAGCGCACGGTGTAGTTAATGATTTGTGCAGTGGTGAACGCAGGCCTCCTCCAGTGCAGGAAGATGGAAGATGAGGTGTTAGCCTTCGCATAGAGATGGTGGGGTGGTGGTGGAGGAGGGACCATACGATCACGGACAGCTATTGAAAAAGATAACGTTCATTTACTGCACAACACATAACACTTAATGTGCAAAGTGGTAAAACAGTAGAATCATAAAATCTCATACCCTACAGGCTGGTTTTAGATCTTTTTCACCAGAGATTCTCAGTGGTTTAGAGATACATCATCCAGACCCAAACAACCCTTATGTGAGAAAATGAGTCACATTTTATCAACATTTGACATTAGAACACTGAACCTACCAGCCAATGACATTCAGAAAACCAGTGGTAGATGCTGCCTTCTTTAGTAGCAATAAAACTGAACAGCAAATGTAGAGAAACAACTAACCTCATGGCGAAAGCAAAGGAAAATTAAAAGTGTAAGTATTCAGCAGTTACTTTTCCCAGTTAAATATCTAGTGGTCTTTTGCGTGCAAAATTAAAGCAGGTACTTATAGTTCAATACATCTCACTTAAATAGGTATTCAACAATCAAGACAACTATGCTAGACAGCATAAACAATGCGAAGCAATTAAACAACCAAGACTTCCGAGTAGTAATAAAGGAGAAGGAGACAGAGCTTCAGCCTCAGCGGGACAAGCCCCACAGCTCTGACTTACACACGCAGCCCGGGGTGCTGACGGTCTGATCTGCCTGGTAGCCGTCCTCCACGCTGTTGTAAGCCAGCAGCCTCACATGGTATTTTCTTCTGGGGTCTGTAAAGAAACCAACAGGTTAGCATCAGGATCAGCCCTCTAGACACAGGCAAAGGTTCTTGATGGAGCATTCCTAGATTTTGGCTTAAAATTTTTTCAAATGAGCAAAAGTTATAAATAATACAAACACTTTTTTCTCTCCCTATACTTCATTCACCTTTATATGGCCTTGCTAATATGATTAACAATTATTTTACTTTACTTAACCTAGTTTCAAACAATCACACTACAACTTCTCTTCCACCCTGCCCTGTGAGCTGATCAGACAGCATCTTGGTTTTCAAAACCTTGCATTGCTTGATAGATTTACAGGAGGTTACATACACTACAAAGAGCTTTTTTTTGAAGCAGTTACAGTTGAAGATACTTTACTTAAGAGCATGAAGATTAAAGTTTGATTACCTATTTCATCAAAGTTACAGAAAATTATAATTGGCATCCTTTAATGGCTTTGAACATTTATATATACAGTGTGTTAAGTTTTAGCTTTATTACTCTAAATGTATCCTTTATACAAACTTACATTTTCAACTTGACAGATAAATTCAACAAAAGTGAGTTGGGCTCCCTCTACTGGTGCTCATTAGCTATTACAATACTAAATCTAAAGTCCATCCCATGCTCACTAAAGCAAATTTTTCAGGGCTCTGGGAAGGGGAAAAATCATCATAAACTCTTAGCTGATTGACTTCAAAAATTTTATTCAAGAGGATTCTTTTTTTTTAAAAACTCAGGGTTTTCCAGTGGGGAGGACCTGTCATTAGGATTTGTATGTCTAATTGCTGAGCCTCCATTGGTGCTTGGGATAGAGAGGTTTCATATTTTTCTAATTTTTGTGTGTGTTGCCTCAAGGGTCAGTTTCTTTTAGAGATTTTTACAGGCCATTTGATCATCACTTGAGTGAAGATTTTGACTAGATGAACTTAATTGCCCATTTCTATGATTTCAAAATTGGAGTTTGAAAAGTGGCTAATCTTAATCACTGTCCTGTTTATCATAAATTAATGTTGGAGTACACTGAAGTTGGAGACAAGTACTTCATGAAAACTGGCTAAAGTCTGAAATAAATTATTTCATAACCTAAAAAAAAATGTGGAGCAGTTGAGACTTGAACCATCAGTCATTTGGAATGCTGGCATTGCAGGTGGCAATGGCAGCTTAAGCCTCTGTGCCACAACACCAGCTCCAATGTGAATACATTTAAAATTAACTGTTTATGATGATGTTTAATTATAAAATTATGTGTTTTTAGGGTAAAAATAAATATTACTTAAAAAAATTCCTCTACTATACTTCTCAAAGTAATAATAAGACAAACACAAACAGTATTTCATAAGGGAAGACAATTCTCTTGAATATATATAGATATAGATATATAGATATAGATAGACAGATCTCCAATATACAAAAAGACTTGGAATTAAAGAAGATTATTTTATTTTAGGAACAGGCGTTGAGTACAATAATTAAGATGCCTGCAGGCCGGCGCCGTGGCTCACTAGGCTAATCCTCCACCTGCAGCACTGGCACCCCGGGTTCTAGTCCCGGTCGGGGCACCGGATTCTGTCCCGGTTGCTCCTCTTCCAGTCCAGCTCTCTGCTGTGGCCCGGGAGTGCAGTGGAGGATGGCCCAGCATGGGAGACCAGGAGGAAGCACCTTGTTCCTGGCTTCAGATCGGCACAACATGCTGGCCATAGCGGCCACTTGGGGGGTGAACCAACGGCAAAGGAAGACCTTTCTCTCTGTCTCTCTCTTTCACTGTCTAACTCTGTCCAAAAAAAGATGCCTGCATCCCACATCAGAATGCCCAGGTTTGACTGGGGGCTCCAAGCCCTGACTCCAGCTTCCTGCTAATACAGACAAGACTGGGTGCATTCACTGTGGTATGGCTGTAGACAGCTTCCTGCTAATACAAATCCCAGGAGACAGAGGTGATGAGTCAAGTAACTAATGGGCTTCCTTCCACCAACGAGGGAGACATGAATACACTTCTCATCTCCAGGTTCTAGCCCTGGCTCAGCCCTGGCCCTGCCCTGGCTGTTGCAGCCATTTGGGAAGGGAACCAGTAGCTGGGAGGTATCTTCCTGTTTCTTTGCCTCTCAAATAAAAAAACGTTAAAAGCAGTAATTCTACAGTGAATTCAAGCATCAAAAATATAAAAATAAAACACAAACTTTATGAAACTCTCCAGAGTAATATTCTTGTATATTGTTAAAAATGATAAATATATTATACTGTTTAATATTCAAAGGTATTAAAAGGCTATCCTACAATATAAAATTATCATTTCCATTTGTTTTCCCAAAATTAAAACCACAAGAAGAAAAATTTCTAGAACTTAGAAAAGTTCTGTGCTTTCTAGAAAAAGGTAGGAATAATAGCATAGTCTTGACAACAGGATTATCCTACATAAATGTCTTTTAGATAGACTGTCTTAACTGACTATCACAAAATTCTATAAAGGTTTATGTTACTGCTATTTCACAAGCTGCTCTACAAGAGTATTAGGAGAATTTCCAGTCCACACAAAGGTGACCCAAGAAACAAGAGCTTGTGGCTATTAGTACGAAAAGTACAGCGTATTAGTACATGTGCCTTTGTCAGGACAATTAAGTCCGTCTTCTTATAAGAAACTTTTTTTTGTTAGATTTATTTATCTGAAAGGCAGAGTTACAGGGAGGCAGAGAGAGAGAGACAGACAGACGGACAAACAGACATCCACTGGTTCACTCCCCAAATGGTTACAACAGCCAGAGCTGGGCTGATCCAAAGCCAGGAGCCAGGAGCCAGGAGCCAGGAGCCAGGAGCCAGGAGCCAGGAGCCAGGAGTGTCTTCCGGGTCTCCCATGAGGGTGCAGGGCCCAAGTACTTGGCCCACCTTCCACTGCTTTCCTAGGCCACATCAGAGAGCTGGATTGGAAGTGGAGCAGCCAGGACTTGAACCGGTTGCCCATATAAGATGCTTGCACTGCAGGTGGTGGCTTTACCCCACCACGCCACAGGGCCAGCCCCAAAAACATAAAAAACATGTTTTCAAGTATTTTATAAAACAATTATTAGAAAACACATACACACAGTTGGATTTGTGATGCAAACGAGTTCTGAAATTTAGCAATGAATTCTAAGATTCAAAAGCCTGGTTTATGAAACTGGAGATCACTCAGTTAAGTGAACTAGCCAAGGATGGGACAAATACCACATGTTTTCCCTCATATGCAAAAGCTTAAAAGTTCAATTTGAACACACAATAGTAATTACTAGAAGCTGGGATGGGAATGGGTACAGGGTTGGAGGGAGGCTGGAGAACGGGTACCAATTATAGTTAGTTAGAAGGACTAAGTTCCTATCATTACTCAGGATGCTGGGGTGACTACAGTTCACAGTAACCAGTATGTATTTTCAGAGCAAAAAGAACAAAGGCATTTGAGGTCTCCAATCATAAAGTAACAACACAGCAAAGTATTATTTTGACTGTTGGTACAGATTGCATACCTATCCTGAAATGTCACACCATACACATGCACAACTATGGTTAACTAAAAAATGTTTAAGGCTTTAAAAACCAAATAAATAGAAAAAGAGATTTTGGTTTAGGTCAACAGCTACCTAATTGGAATCCACCCACACCATCCTCAGGGAGCTAAACGAGCAGACAGCCATTTCTCACGGAAAGCTGCTTTTGATGAGGGCTTTGAGTACAGGTAGAAAATTGAACCTTCTACCACAATGCAAACAACCACTCCATCAACATGTCACGGGTAATTCTCTGGAACGGTGACTTTTAGAAAACAAACTTTAAAAAAAAAAGAATTAATTAACTAACATTTACTTTTAAAAGATTTATTTATTTATTCGAAAGTCAGAGTTACACAGAGAGGAGAGGCAAAGAGAGACAGAGTGGTCTTCCTTCCGATGGTTCACTCCCCAGAAGGCCAAAACGGCAGGAGCTGCGCCAGTCCGAAGCCAGGAGCCAGGAGCTTCCTCCAGGTCTCCCACACGGGTGCAGGGGCCCAAGGACTTGAGCCATCTTCCACTGCTTTCCCAGGTCACAGCATAGAGTTGGATTGGAAGAGGAGCAGCCCGGACTAGAACCGGAGCCCATATGGGATGCCAGCGCTTCAGGCCAGGGTGTGTTAACCCACTTAGTCACAGCGCCGGCCCCTGCTGCCCGCCCCCCTTTTTAAAGATGTTTTATTTATTTATTTATTTGAGAGGCAGAGTTGCAGACAGAGAGAAAGAAAGACAGAGGTCTTCCTGGTTCACTGGTTCACTCCTCACACGGCTACAATGGCCAGAGCTGGGCTGATCCAAAGCCAGGAGCGAGAAGCTTCCTCCAGGTCTTGCATGTGGGTACAAGTGCCCAAACACTTGGGCCATCCCCTCCATTTCCTTCCCAGGCCATAGCAGAGAGCAGGATCATAAGAGGAGCAGCTGGGACACAAACTGACCCCCACACGGGATGCCAGCGCCGTAGGTGGAGGCTCAGTCTACAATACCACAGACTGGCTCCCATCTGCTGCTTTCCAAAGTCCATCAGCAGGATGCTTGATGGGATGCAGAGCAGTTGGGGCTTGGTGTCACCAGCAGCTGCTTAACTTGTAGTGCCACAAACCTGGCCTCCGGAATGGCTACTTTTTGTGTGTCCGAAAATGGAACCTTAAAATTTTCCCTTCTTGGTCTCTGAAAAATGACCTTACACTAAAAACAAAATTTTTTTTTGAGAGAGAGAGAGAGATCTATCTTCCACCCACTGATTCACTCCCTAAATGGTAGCAATGGCTGGACACAGCTGAGCCAATCTGAAGTCAGGAGCTTCCTCTGGGTCTCCTGCACATGGGTGCAGGGGCCCAAGCTCTTAGGTCATCCTCTGTTGCTTTCCCAGGCACAGTAGCAGGGAGCTGGACTGGAAATGGAGGAGCTGGGACTCGAACCAGTGCCCACATGGGATGCCAGCACTGCAGGCAGTGACTTTTTCCACTAGGCCATAGCACTGGCCTCCAC